TTTCTAACTTTTGTGAAAAATTTGGAATATCTCATGAATTCTCCGCACCGAAAACACCTCAAAAAAATAGAGTGGTTGAACGCAAAAATCGCACTCTGCAAGAAATGACCTGGGTCATGATGAACGCAAAGGAGATTGCTCCTCGATTTTGGGCAGAGGCAGTTACCACTGTATGTTATATTATAAATCGAGTTTACCTTCGACCAAGTACCACTAAAACTCCCTACGAAATTTGGAAAGGTAAAAAACCTCAACTCAGCTATCTTCGTACTTTTGGTTGTACTTGTTATATTCTGAATGACAGAGAACAGCTTGGGAAATTCGATACTAGAAGTGATTAAGGAATGTTCTTAGGCTACTCTCGAAATAGTCATGCCTATGGAATATTCAATCTAAGAACAAAGTCTGTTATGGAATCTGCATATGTTTAATTTGATGACTTTAATAATGATGCAGGTCCACTGGAAGATGATCCAGCAAAGGAATCAGATAGTGTCACAACAACAGTTCCAATAGTTGATGCAACTCTTACCACCTCAGAAGAAAGTGACACTGGTTCTGAAACTGGAGATGAAGCTGAAGTCAGCCCTCACGAATAGGGTGATCAAACTAAAAAAAACCCTCAAAACGAGTCAAGAAGAATCATCCGGTGGATCAAGTCATTGGTCCGGTAGAAGAAGGAATTCAAACCAGAGGTAAACCCAAGATAGACTACAAGGAAATGGCAAGGTATGTTTGCTTCACTTGAGCTATAGAACCCAAAAATATTAAAGAAGCCCTGCTAGATGAGTATTGGATTCAAGCCATGCATGAGGAACTGGAACAGTTCGTTCGAAATGACGTTTGGGTTTTTGTTCCTAGGCCTGATAATGTCAATATAATAGGTACAAAATGGGTCTTTAAAAATAAGTCTGATAAACATGGAAATATCGTTCTTAACAAAGCTAGATTAGTTGCACAAGGCTATAGTCAAATCGAAGGCATTGACTTTGATGAAACTTTTGCCCCTGTAGCTACACTAGAATCTGTTCGGTTACTTCTTGCTATTGCTTGTTTTCTAAAATTCAAACTTTTCCAAATAGATGTCAAAAGTGCTTTCTTAAATGGTATTTTAAAAGAAGAAGTTTATGTTGAACAACCTAAAGGATTTCAAGATCCACATCATCCCACGCATGTTTTCAAATTGAACAAAGCCATGTATGGCCTCAAACAAGTGCCTAGAGCCTGGTATGAGCGTCTTACATACTTTCTATCACACAAGGGATACACTAGAGGTAGCGTTGACCGAACTCTTTTCTTTAAAAAATCAAAGGGAGATATCCTGATTGCTCAGATTTATGTTGGTGACATTGTTTTTAGGTCTACATCTCAAACAAAAATTGAAGAATTTGTAAAACAAATGTCTAACGAATTTGATATGAGCATGGTTGGAGAACTTACGTATTTTTTAGGTTTTCAAGTTAAACAATTGAGTGGTGGAATCTTCATAACTCAATCCAAGTACGCTAAAAATCTTGTCAAACGATTTGGGTTAGAATTTGTAAAAACTGTTAGAACTCCTATGGGAACAAACGATAAACTGTCGCGACAGTTGGAGGCAACCTCGGTAGATTCCACAATGTATCGAAGCATGATAGGTAGTCTACTGTACCTTACATCTAGCAGACCAGATATATGCTATAGTGTTGGAGTTTGTGTCAGATATCAATCAAATCCCAAGGAATGTCACCTAAGCGCTCTCAAATGGAATCATTCGCTGTGTAAGTGGAACAACCGATTTCGGTATTTGGTATTCCATGGATACTAACACAACACTTGCAGGTTTTAGCGATGCTGATTGGGCAGGTGATGCAGATGATCGAAAAAACACGGTGGGTGGATGTTTTTACCTTGGCAATAATCTCGTCTCCTGGTAAAGAAAAAAACAGAACAGTATCCCACTCTCCACTGCCGAATCATAATGTAACGCCGCAGATAGTTGTTGTGCTCAACACTTATGGATGAAACAAATGATATGTGATTATGGTATTAGTGAAGATTTATTGCATATTTATTGTGACAATATGAGTGCAATTAATATTTCCAAGAATCCGGTTCAGCACTCTAGAACTAAGTATATTGACATCCGTCATCATTTCATTAGAAAGTTGGTAGAGGAAGGAACTGTCTAGAGTATGTCACAACGGAAATTCAACTTGCTGACATCTTTACTAAACCCCTAGATGCACAAAGGTTTGATTCCTTGCAAAATTCGCTTGGAATCTGTATTCTTTAACCTATGCAGTTGCATAAACTGTTGCAACAGTCTGTGTCCAGACTTGCAACTTTTAAAGCATTAGGGACACATCATACATGCTGCATTTTGTTCATCTAAGTTATGCATTCGATGGATACTAATGTGACAAAAACCAATGTGCATTGGATACTATTTGTACTTTCGAATTTTGTGATATAGAACTTCATCAATCTTCAAATGATAGCTATAGAGGCTTTAGCTTATTTACTTCCCTCCACAGTCTTGTCATGGTTGGACACTCTTTTAATGAGTGAAAGCTACTCTTGAATTACTGTAATAATATATATATTTACAACCATTTGGTAAGTGAATAGTTCGAAGCCTTTTTGAGTCGAGTCAGTAAATCACGTGGCCAAAAGCTCGCTAGAGGGCTCAATTAGAAAGCCCAGGGGACTACACATTGCACGACCACTATAAATTATATATACAATCAGTGAATAGTTCTAAGCCTAGTTGAGTCGAGCCAGTAAACCACATGACCGAACACTTACTACACGACTAAATTAGAAAGCCCAGGGGACTACACATTGCACGACCACTATAATCTCGTTTTTTTCATTGCTCTGTTTTTCATGGAAAAATCTACCATTAGAAGTGTGTGTATGCTACTGAATTAGAGCTTGTGCCTGATTTGAGGCTTCTAAATTTGTTGTTAGTCTTCTTAGTTGGACTTTTGGAGCTTGCTCTCTGTTAAAATTGAAGATAAACCCCATGGGTTTGATAGTCCTCATAGTATCCTATTCACTTGTGTCCATGCACTCATATTTTTTTTTTCATTCACGTTTATTTTTTGTCTCATCTATTTTCGCTAGAGTGCATATTAGGCATTTTAATAAAAAAAAAAATTGTAGTGGGTTCGTATTTTTTTTGCGGCAATAAATTTCTTCGGAGTAACCCACTTTTATGAGCATTTTTTTCTGATTTCTTGACTTAGTTTTTGAATTGTGTGGGGACTCATCTACAAAGGTTGAAAGTGTGCTGGACTCAAAATTGGATTATATTGATTTCACTTATGTTGGGTGCAATACATTATGTAATTACAGTCTTTTGCTATTTCATAATTGCTAAACCACCCCTCTGCCACCCATGAGTCGGTCAGTAATCACTTTTAAAGGGATCATGTGTCTTCTCGAATTTCTCTTCCTCTTTTTTTCGAATTCTCTGTCTCTCTCTCCTCTTTGCTGCTCTCTTTCTCTCCTCTTTTGCAGAACACCACCCAAACAAAAAAAAAATTGGGAGAAACAGACTTTTAATGGGCAAACGAAAGGGGACCGCGACATCGTCCTCATCCTCCAAGAAGAAGACTCGACCGGCGCCTGTACCGCCGGCGCACCCATTGCTTTTCTGTGAGAAATTTTGCAGAAGTAGACTAGTAGTCGATTTTAGTGTGTGGTTTTGTGAAAAAAGTTAGGGAACAAGAAGAAGAGTGGGAATGAAAAGATGAGATTTTAGAGAGAGAATTTTTTCAATTGTGTGTATAATTTGGTAAAATTGGTGTGGGATTTAGCATATCAGTTGACAATAATGCAGGCCCAAACTATTTTTACTATTTTTTGATACCCCTTATATAATATTTTAACTAAATAAACTGCCAAACCTTCTCTCTCTCTCTCTCTCTCTCTCTCTCTCTTGTCTATCTTTTTTAATCTCCTCCACCACCGTCCTTCGCTACCACTCCTCCAACGTTGCCTCCTCCAACATCGATGCCCTTATCTCCGCTGCTTACAAAAAAGCTAGAGCGACAATTTGTCGAGTGACGACATATGATTTGATGGCGAATTTTAGTTATTGAATTGATTTTCCATAATTCCAGTCAAAGGTAAGAATATAATCCCACTATTGTTGGAGTTTGGAACTTTATTCATTCATATCGTCGAACCATTTTTGGGTAAAAGTTAGACATTGAAGATATATGTGATTCAACAAAATATTGGTTCCGGCCATGACGATTTCGCGCAATGGCTCTATGATTTAGTATTGGTTGGTATCTAAGTTTTGGTGGCATCGATTGTTTTTAAACGGCGAGGCTAGGGTTTGGGATTGGTTCGGCCCTTCTCTTACGATTTAGTCGAGATACAATTTATTTTTTTGTAGTTGGTTTCTTTAATTAGTAGTTGGTTTCGGTGATTTTGTAGTTGATTTCGCTATTGTAGTAGATTTCAATACCACTATAGTTGATTTCGATATATTGGAGATGGTTTCGATGATTTTGTAGTTGGTTTATATGAATTTGTAGTTAGTTTCAATAAATTATAATGGATTACTTTGTAGCTTGTAGTTGGTTACTAAATTTGTAGTTGGATGTGTTTTTATAGTTGTTTTTGTTATAAATTGTAGTCGTGTAATAATTTTGTAGTTGATTACTGAAATTTGTAGTCGATTACAATTTAGTAATTATAGTTGATTATTGTAATTTTGTAGTTGTTTATGATGTGGTAAATCTATCAAGGAAAAAAAATATTAATTTATTAAAAAAAACAAAGATGAATTTATTAAAAATGAATTTTATTAAAAAAATAAATTTATCAAAACAAAAAAAGTAAAAAAGTAGAAAATAAAATGATATATAAGTACTGAATAAGAGGGGAGAGGAATTCTAATAATATAAAAGGTAAAATGAAATTATAAAAAGTTGAAGGGGGTCTTTCAAATACAAATAACAAAGTGGATCTAGTTCAATAAAAAAAAATGAATAGAATTTCGATTAGCCCAATTAAAAATACAATTGTATTACTAGAAAGGAGAAATTACATAAAGATAATATTCAAATGTAGTTTAATTGTGAAACAAAGAATATACCATTTTAGTTTCTTCACATTAGACAAGGCAAACTTTGTTAAGTGGAGAAGGGGTGGAAATGACAATTGCCTAAATTACAATCCCTTCTCTACTAAGTTTGTATTTATCTTTTTCTTACATAAAAGTTTTTTCCTTTTCGGACAGAAATGAAAAGGCAAATTAAAGTAAATCAGGTTCAAAAGGGTGGCTAATTTCCCCCCCTTTAATTTCTTTATTTATTTACCTGCAAAAAGCAAAAGTAATCCAATTAATCAATTAGGTGATAAATAAAGAGAATCAATAAAGCAAAAGTAATAATCCAATTAATCAATTATGTGTAGGAGTGTAAATGAGCTCGGCTGGCTCGATAAACGTTCGAACTCAATGTTTTTTAGCTGAACTCGAGCTCTGTGATGAGTCTAGCTGCTTGTTCGTGAACTCACGAGCCCAGCTTACAAGCTTTTTTTATTTCGATTTTTAATTATACTTTATAATAATATTAATAAATAGATAAACAAAACACACACACACACACACACACACACATACACACACACACAAAAGGGTTCACGCTCGAGCTCGCCAACAGCTAAGGTCGGCTCGAGCTTGGTTCGTTTACTCCCCTACTTAGGTGTCCAGGATCATATATATATAGTTGCAGATCTTTAAAATAACAATGGCATAAAATGTCGTAATTAACTACATTTTTAGTTATTTCTCTCATAATTAATCATTTTCTTAGCAAATACCAAAAAAAGAAAAAAAAAATACTAATGGATATTCCAGTTGCAATTAATTCTCTTTTCACTATTGGAATAATTTAGGAGTAGCTAAGGAAAAGTTGAAATATAGTAATTAATTAAACATTGTTTATTCTAAATTGAAAAATAATGCAAAATATTATTTCAAAAGAGACTTTTTAAACCAAAGAAAGTATATATTTTAACAAGATAGCATAATAACCATCACAAGATTCATAGAATTTTGTAATTAATAAATAAATACCCTCCTTTTCCACAATTAGTAATGATAATCGTAAAATTGGTAAAATTAATTATTATATATATATTTTATTATTTTTTTATTTTTATTGATCTCTACTTACCATTTCCCCCAAAAATCCTTCTTACAAAAGTAAGGAAGATGATTAGCAGTGCAACCCCAGCTAATAATCCAATTATGATTGCAAATGTCTTCTCCGAATCGCTATGGGAGGAACCTATAAATTAATTAATAAATGTAAATAAAAAGTATTAGTTAATTAAAATAATCAGCATTTCCTCTAATTAAAATTTAATTTAAATCAAAGATCTATAAATACAAAATATATTATACTCCCTTTGTTCCATAATAACTGTCTCTTTTTTAAAATATTTTTGTTTCATATTATCTGTCAGTTTATATTTTCAATACTGCATTAAATGCATTTTTTCCTATTTTAACCTTATTAATTCGACTATAAATATTAACTCTCTTATTACATCATTAAATAATCAAGGTTATTTTAGTTTTTCTAATTTATTTTACCTAAAATCAAGACACATTTATTGAGTTTACTAATACTTGTTCAAAGCTAAAAACGACAGTTAATAGGGAACGGAGGGAGTATTCTTTACCGTGGTCGTTTGACCTCGTATAAGCGTGGGCCCCACTGGTGGAGTACCGCGCGTAGCACTTGGAGAGAAACATGTCCCCGAACACAGCGCCGCCGCACTCCGCCTTCAGCCGCCGTATCGCCTCCGTCAAGCAGTCCTGGCACTGCCCGTTGCTCAAGTCCCCGACGCACTGCGCCACCCCCTGAACGTCCTCCGACCCGCCGACCCTGTACGCGCCGCCGGCCCCGTTCAGCCCCGCCAGCACGGCGTCGCGGCGGCCCATCTGGTCGGCGGTGTAGCCGTCCGACGGGCCGCACTTCTTCATCACCACCGTCTTGTCCTCGACCCCGATGAACGACGCGTTGTCGTACTTGACGAAGCAGCCCTCCAGCTGCACGGCGCCGCCGCAGGTCTGGGAGCAGAGCGGGCCGAGATGGGTCACGGCTCGGGCCACGCAGGTGGCGCAGTCGGGCATGGCTAGGTCGGCCCGGCACTGGTAGAGCCCGTAAACGACGTCGTGCGGGGTGGGTCCCATGATGGCGTACTTGTTGTAGGGGGAGTAGGTGGCTGAGTTGACCAGGGAGGTGAGGAGTGAGTTGAGGTTTGACTCGTACTGGGAGTCGGGTGTATATTTTAACGGTGAGCAGCCGCCGTAGAGGAAAGAATCCAGCGAGCAATTTGCCGCCGGTATGAAGAAAAATAGAAGAGAAAATGATAATAGAAGAAGAAGACAATTATTTGCAGGCTCCATGGTATGAATTATGAATTATGATATGCCAATGAAATATTGATGGCTGCGTTTGAGGGGTAATAAGTACTTAAATAAGCATGGAAAAAGTTTCTTTTTATATCAATAATTTAGCTTAAAAGCTTTTGTGGGACGCTCGAACTTTTCTTGGAAAATGTAATTATTAGGGTCCTATGCTGCACGGATACGGATACGTGGACACGTCGATACACGGATACGGATATGGTGATTCGACATTTCGAAAAAATTAGGATACGCACACGTGGTGATATGCGTAAATATAAAAAAATATAGGGGTATATTTATAAATTCAAAAAATATAGGGGTACATGTATAAATTGTAAAAATTTATTTATAAGTCGCCAAATTGCATAAGAGAACAGCTCGTCCTTGTTGCACGTGTTCTTGATCGCTGTTGTTTCTAGAGTTTTGGACTTTTGAGTGGACTTTCAAGAAGACAGAGGAAATATGAGTTAGAGAAAAAGAAAATGCGTATTTTTTATTAGGGCTTTCTCTTCAAACACAAGAGCCGTGTCCCAACTTTTTTTTTAAATTGCGGACACTGCACACGGGTGTCCTACTTTTAGCGACATTAGAACAAGGCCCGAAACAGGTGTCCGAGCTGTGTCCGGGCATGTCCGAGTGTCCAAGTGTTGGATACGGAGACTCTTCACCTTCTAGAAGTGTCCGTGCAACATAAATTATACATTTCAGGTAGAAATTGATATGAAATACTCCAAGTTTAAATTTTTCGAAAGTCACGCTTAGAATAAAAAGACAATTTTTAGTTTCCGTTGATCTCGATATGAGAGTTTCAATTTATAACAAGTTCTTACACGATTGCTAACATTTTCTTTTTATTTTTTCCAAAAATATTTTAGAACATAATTGGAATCAGTTCCGAATATGTTTTCTTTTCTGAAAGTACTAATTTCATTCGGTTGGCCTGATTTCATCATAAATCCATTTTCATAATATAATATTTGATTGATTCACATATAAATACATATTTTTGACTTCATTATATAGTTGGAACAATTTTATACTTTTTTTACCAAAATGCCACAAGATGAGGATAATTCTAGTTGGATTATCGAATCTAACGCAGATTCAATTACATGCACGATGAATCATGAGTACTTATTGAAGATGCAATAATTGTTGAATTGGCTCTGTAAGATTATATAATACGCAAGAATTAATAAAATTACGCTTTGCACAAGTCCACGTGTATATATATGATTTGTGAATTTATAACCCAAAACTACTTTATTTATGTACACAGTTAAACATTCATAAATTAACACAGTCATGATTAATAAAACTATACTTATTTAATTAGTGAATAATTAAATTATCGAACTAATAATTTAGTAGGTTTTTATTGAGCCACTGCCAAAAAAAAAAAGTTATTATTTAAGCAAGATTAATAATTTATCGAGTATTGATTTATGAAGGTTATAATGTATTTATTAACATCTTAATGAATGGACTTTTTATTAAATGTAATATATAAAAAGCTAGCTCATGTGCAATATCAAAAGGTCACACTTCCAATTTTTTATTTATTCTTTATTTAGGTAAAAGTTGGAAAATTGCTGATTTGCAGAATTGGCAAACAGTCCCCTTTGCTGATTCAGAACAAGCTGTACCATCGCACTACGCCCCTCTCCATCTGCAGATCAAGTATAGAGAATATTAAATTCCCAATATATTTTGAGTTTAGTTTTACTTAATTATCTCATATCTATTAAATTAATTAATGAATTTTTAAAGTTAATAAAAGTAATTTAATATTCTTACTGTAATTCTTTTCGAGGTTGAATTTCAAATCAAAATTTGTATATTCATTAATCCTTTCATCGACATATTTAAAATTTATATATTTTGATCACAAAAAAATATTTTATAAGAAAATAAAAAATATTTTTTCAGCTATTATATTATCAAGTTATTTTAAATTTATATTTTCTTCCAAAGATCTATACCAAATATTTTCACCAATTACAATGAAAGATCCATCAAACGAATAATTTAGTGAGAATTATTTTTTTGTTTGTAAGAAATATAATATAGTTTTTCAGTAATTCAATGAGATTTTTGTTATTTCGCACTTTATACCCTCGAAATTGGGTTGGAGGTAGAAGAAAATAATAATTTAATTTTTCATTTTGCACCTGGGAAATTAATAAAAAAAAAAAATCAACAAAATATGAAATTGCCTTCATTAAGTTTTAAATATTCAATCCATAGTGTGCATTGTAAATGATTCCTTGCGTTTAGAGGGTGAAAAGTGTTATTAGTTTTTTGCATGGTGCAAAGTGCCAAAATGCTACATTTCAAGGGATCAAAGATGAACTAGGGTACACTTTGCCAAGCAATTGGTAATTGAAGGGTGCATTTTACATTTTTTTCAATTTTAAGTACCCAAAATGTGAAAGTCATCTAATTTACGGGTACAAACTGCCAATTATAATTTATTTGGTTGTAGAAATAATGTGATAGTTTGTAGAAGCAACAATGTGATGTTTTAATTAGTTATAATTTTCTTTATAATATTCAAAAAAATTATACTAATATAGAGTGATATTTCCTAGAAACAATATTAATGTGAATATATACACATCTGAATGATTAAGAACAATATATGGATATTGAATGTTGAACATTTAAGTTTGTTCGGTAATTAGAAGTCTTTTATATCCGAATGACGCGATTTTACTATATTAACCTTATTAATTGTTGAATAAATAAATTTATTTACTAATTAGTTATCAATAATGTCTAAATATTAGTAAATAATGTACGTGTAGTCAAAATGTTTTCCAAAAATTGTGAAAACGGGAGTTAATGTCATATATCTAAAAAAACCAGGGGTCAATGTGCAATATTTACTAAGTTAGAATATTATGGATGAAATGAATATAAATTTATATTTTGAAGGGTATTTTAATTTGTAGGTAAGAAATTAAATGATGGGCTTTGTTGTAATTTTTATAGAACTGATTTTGATCTAGATACAAGTGTAGAGTCTCCTCCTTGAAGTTATATGCAATTTGCCCTTACAAGAAACCTAGTACTTCTCAATGGAAAATTTATCCTACACTTTCCATAATTTTTTTTTTTATTTTTTTTTTATTATTTTTTTTTATTATGTTGATAAAGTTCATAAATTAATTGTTGGTTTAATTAGAATTTAGAATATCAAGAATTAAAGAGCACGCGCCTACGTCATTCATAGAAGTTTCCATATTGTTATATTACAAGATTCTGAATAATTTGTTCCAACTACATCTAATTAGCAATTATCGTACCAAAGGCAACACAAAATAAGGAATTTCAGTTATTAAAAATCTAGATCAAATAGGAAAGATATTGTGAACCAAATCAATCAGATATCCCAAGTTGTTATATATATATATGAGTTAATTGCATAGACCCCCCTGTGTTATTTCTCGGAAGCAAAAAACCCCCCCGGAAAAAAAAATTAGCTTATAACCCCCTCTGTTGTGTTTTAGTCAGCCCACCGCCCCTTCGTGTGCACTGGCTCGTTGACTTAAGTGAAATGACAGAATTACCCTTAATAAAAAATAAAGCGAAAAAGAAAAAATAATGTCTAACAATTTTTAATAAATTTTCAATTTTAAACAAACAAATATAAATAAAATATGTGTTAAATATAATAACAATTAAAAAAGGAAAAGAAAAAAGAATTCTTCTTCATCCCGTCTTCCAACAGCCACACCCACCTGCAACTTCCACGATGTTTCTAGCAAAAACCAAAATCTTAAGAAATCACATGTACACATTTTTCTATCTCCACCATTGTCCCGTGCCAACCAAAATCTTTAAAAAAATATCAATTATCTTCTCGCTAATTTCATTTCATCAATTCTAACAGGGATTGGAGAAAAGAAAAAAGGGGGGTTTCCCCAAGCCCCAGCCCTCCGCACCGCCGCCGTCCCAAGGAATATTGGGGAACCAGCTCAGCAAAACCCTAACCATCAAACCCCACTGTAAAGGTATCGGCAAGAATCGCATCAGGGCTTCGGTTTTCAAGAATCCGGGTTGCCGCCGCCGCTGGAGCAGCAGCCGCCGCCTTGTACGAGCGGAAGAGGTGTAGCATTGGGTGGGGCGAAGATGGTGCCGACAATAGACTGCCGATTTGAGTAGATTGGAGATTTGGAGGATTGGAGATTGGATTTGCAGTCGCCGGTGACGGGGGTATTGTCTCTAATGTCCATCTCCAGACTTCAATTCTTGGTCACGGAGAGAGATGGTGGAAGTTGATGTGGGTTGGAGAGGAACCGAATCAAACGTTGCGGAGCATAAGGCAGAGGCGGCGGAGATGGTGGATTCTGGAGGAGCAGGATTGGTTGGTGGTGGCTGTTGGGGGTGGGTGGACGAGTGTTTCTTTTTAATTTCTTTTTTCTTTCTATTTTTGGAAAATTGCAAATCAGTCCCTGACTTAAGGAAGAAGAGGGCCTTTCTGAAAATTCAAGGGACTGAATTGAAAAAATTGAAAACTTTATTTGGGGCTTATTTTTGAAATTAATAATTTAAAGGGCAGTTGGGTCTTTTCACGTCAAAAAATCGAACCCGAGTCGCATATTCGGCGAGTGCAGCACACGATTCGCTCGGAGGGTCCTTATTGACATTGACTTCCTTTCATAGGGGGTTATTTGTTAATTTTTTTATCCGAGGGGTTTTTTTGCCAATTAGACATTTCACAGGGGAGCCGAGTGCAAATACCCCATATATATATATATATACAAGTTCAGAAAAACCTGATTAGAGAGAGAGAGAGAGAGAGAGAGAGAGAGAGAGAATGGCTAAACGTACAGCTCCCGATATTCCATCTCCGTATTCCATGGCATTAGCGGAAGCACTTGGTTTAAGAATGTACGGAGTACTTCACCAAATTTCTCAGGCAGAAGTTGATATTTTCTACCACCAAGGTGTGCCCGAAAAAGAATCGAACAAGGAGGAGAAAACTTCCGACGAAGCGGCCGCGGTGATCAAAGAAGATGATCAAGAGGAGAGAGAAAACGAAGAGAGAGAAGAGATGTACGAGGTTGCTGAAAAGTTGCATGAGCAAGTCATGAGGAAAAATTCCAAGTCGAAGAAGACGAGTTACCCTTCGTCCAGAAAGATAATATTACGTC